AAAGGAATTAGTGGGGACAAGATTTGGGAAGGGCAATATTTACCAGCTTCCAGAGATCAAGTAAGGAAAGAAGCCAGGATTTCTCGGGGTGATGAAATGAACCCATAGAGAGTGAGGGAAGTAGCCAGCATTTCTCAAAGCGACGAAATGAACCCATGGAGAACAGGGGTGCAATGTTAGCACTGAGAATATTCACACACTACACAGGGCAGATTGTTTCCAGTTATAGGAAAAATTGACCCTCAGGCAGTCTGATGTATCTGTCCCTAATACAATGATTGTATTTCCCAAGGCAGACAAAGACTCAGAGGAACTTGTGACAGTTTGCATGAATGTGGCTAATGGAGCTATCCTGGACGACTTATTGCTCCCCTCAGGTAACAACTCACAGCTGCGGGATTGAGTTTACAATAAAGATACTCTAAATGACAAATCCTTACTCAGCCAACAGAAATTTGCCCCACGCCGAGTGCCGCATGACGAAGTGAGCTCCTGTCTCTGGTTCCAGCTCCTGCCAACCTAGCAGTTAGAGAGCAAAAAATTGCAAGTAGATAAATAGGTAATGCTTCGGTGGAAAGGTAACAGCATTCCATGCACCTTGGCATCTAGTCATGCTGGCCACATGACCACAGAAATGTCTTCGGACAGCGCTGGCACTTTGGCTTGGAAACGGAGATGAGCACCGCAACCCTAGAGTTGGATTCGACTGGCTTTCGAGCAAGGGAAACCTTTACCTATCCAGCATTTAAAACAGACCACTCCAGAGCCTCCTATCTCTTATCTCAATTTACTGGAAATGGAAGGGCATTCACTGCTCTCCGTTTTCAGACCATGCCACCTGAGCTGTTAAAAGGACGATATCTCAACCCGTACAACCAATGTATCTGTTTGTGCAGGACTTCAGTTGAGGATCTATCACAGTACAGAGGATTTATCCTCTGGTTATAATAGTAACATCTGAGCTGAACAGGCTTGCTGTCAGTTCTAGCCCCGCGCTGGTGTGAGCTACCAGCCCTGTCCCCAGCTCGCCGTCTACCCAATGGCTCGAAAGCTTCGGCGAGTAGATAAAATGGGTACCCCTCCTTAGAGAGAGAGGGCACACTGAAACCCCCCCATGGGGTGGAGCAGTGTTAGCCGGCCAACGGAAGTCCATCTTGCAAGATTGGAAAGCCTAGAGAGATCTCCTCGGCATGAAGAAAGCCTGTAACGGGCCATTACGGACAGGTGGTGGCAGTGCAGTGCTACAACTCGAAGGAGTTTGGAGAAAAGCTGACGCCATCAAACCAGGCCAAGGAAAAATGCCGTCCGGATCATGTCTCATCTTCAAAAAACTGAACGAAACCCTCGTCGGCAGCGAATGTGTGTGAATTAAGATGTATATATGTTGTCCTCCCCTACCCCACAAATCATTGTTAGTCCCTCGTAATATTGAGTAACTGTAAATCGCTCAGAGCCAGGAAGCTCTGCAGGATTCAGCGATCAATAAATTGAAAGAATTGAATTACATTTTAGAATGCCCTCTGTATATTGATCCTAGAATTAAATTCCTTAACCCAATCCCACCAACTTTACACTTAAGCACCGATATAGTAACCTTTTTGCTTTCAGATATCAATCCCACCATTTCCTATAGAATGGCACTTTATGCCCATGCTGCAAGGAAAATTAGAGATAGGGCTACGGCATGATTGTACTTTTAAAATATGCTATTTAAGAAACCTGATCTTAAGCTAATGGGGCTTGATGGGTTTGTCTGGTGCAAACTGAAAGTGTTAAATGTTTTTCTGATGACCCTTGAGTACAAGATGGGAGAGGCTGTCAGGTTATATGAATAGCCTACCAATAAAGATAAATGGGCAAGGGGTAGCATAATCAGGTGTGACGAGGTCACGTCAAGATGGGGTATTGCCTTCCTGAGAAATCCATTGTTGAAATTAAGTATCTCTTTTAGAGTGGAGGGGAGAGCTATTAGCAAATCAGCGCCCTGAGTCACTGTCCCAAAATAGATTCCCAGGCTAGTCTCTGGCCAGCATCCAATTTGTTTGTTTCCCGTTTCATCTTGCTTCCATTTCCAGGCCAGGCTGTAGAGTACATGAATTTTGGGGTGATAATTAATAAGAGGTGTCTAGATTTGGACTGCCCTTCTACAGCAAGGGTCTGGCTGCTAACAAAGCAGAGTCCATGCTTGGAAGGGACACCACCAATGAAGGCAATGGCAAATCACCTCTGCTTCTCACTTGCCTTAAAAGACCCTTGCTGCAGTCACCATAATTTGCCTGTGACTTGATGGCAATTTATACACATGAAAACACACATATAAGAATTCCCCTTCCGTACAATTTATATGCATCCATCACACTTCCAATCAATCAGTTACAATACAATTTATTTTTTCTATGATAAAATTTAATATGGTTCAGAAAACTCATAGAATTAGATCCCACCAGGTTTTTGACTGGTGAAAAGGGGAGAAAGGGACCCCTTTGAACACCCAAAATATAAGGCTCATGGGACCTGCTTAGGCAAAAGCCACATGGAACAGAGACTGTTCGAAGGAGGGACATTGGGTGAGTTTGACCTAAAAAAGTGGCTGGATCCAACCCATAGATTACGACTGGGGAAAGCTGGGTTCAAATTCAAGTTTTACTGACTACCTGCTTAATGATCATGAGGTTTTAAAGCCTCTCATCTGTCCAACTGGAAGAACAGTTCTAGGTGGTTTTTAGGACAAAAAAAAGGAAACTATTTTGCATGTTTAGAGTGTCTGAATCATAACAAAGATCTATCTTACCAGGCTTTCATTAAACCTTCATTAAACCTGTAATATTGACAACTTTCATCCCATTCAGGAAGCAAAGATTTTAATAAAAGTGCTGTATTAAACTTTGAGTGCCAGGGTCAGCATCTGTTCCTCCTTTAGCTTTCAGCTCCAAGATTTTTTTTATATAAGGAATAGACAATATTCCAGTGTTCCTGAAGGATTTTGAGCTACATAACTTCTTGGTCACTGAAGACAGCATTGCCAATTACCTGTGGGATTTTAAAAAATATTTCCTAAAGGCAACAAAACTGGCACATTGAACTTGTGAACTGAAGCACTGATAAAATTCTTTGATACAAAAAAAGAAATACAAAATGACAATAATTATAGTAGGTCTATACATCAGCATCTATAAAAAGTTCCCAAATATCTAAACATAAGTCCCTACCCAACTGCTGGCTATATGCCACACGTTCAAATGTTGATAAAGTTGCAAATTCCATTGGTTTACAAAAGATGGGCATTTATCTCTCCATTGTTTCAGTATAAATCTTTTGGCTACCGTAAGGGCATAGTTGGTTCATTTTCATTCACCATCAGTTACATCCACTAAACAGGCAAATAGTTTAAAAGTACATAAGGACCTTTTAAAAAATCAATGAGTATAATAAAACAAAGTTGATAAGAGTAATGGCTTCTTACCAAAAAGGCCAAATCACTGAACATGCCCAAAGCACACATCTTTCCTTACAAAAAGGGTCCCCTGCTCTACTGTGATCAGGAGGGGTTATTCCCTCATACTCAGGAGCATCCCTGTACTCAAGTAGGGTGTTATAGATTCAGGGATATCCTGAAGGAACAAGCAAGTCTCCATTTTGAATTACTTTATTTTTTAAATCATGGGATACTCTTTCTAATTTTTTTGCCATAGAGACCAAAATGTCCTGGCAGTTCCTAATTCTGCCACTTTCCCATCATATGTATCCCATAAGCTTCCTCCATCAGTGGGAGGGCTATTCAGGGAAGCGGATGTGGCCCAGTGCCATTGTGATGTAGTGGTTATGAGTGGTAGATTCTAATCTGGAGAACTGGGTTTGATTCCCAACTTCTCCGCATGAAGCCAGCTGGATGATGTTTATGGGTCAGTCACAATTCTCTCAGAGTTCTCTCAGGCTGAACTACTTCACAGGGTGTCTGTTGTGGGGAGAGGAAGGGAAGATGACTGTAAGCTGTTTTGAGACTCCTTTGGGTAGAGAAAAGCAGGGTATAAAAACCAACTCTTCTTCTTATGAAGAAGGGGTTATGAAAGGACCACTTTGGGGCAGATCATGACTTAATGGGAATCGTGCAAAAGGTTGCTTAACCAAGTAAGCCTTGAATAAGATGGTGACCCTCTAATAATGAATCATTCACACGATTTACACAATTCACTAACAGAAATCGTTTATGTGGGCAAGAAAGTACACATCATTGCATAATTAGTACTCATGTGAACAATAATTCATTTTATCCCTAAAAGGGCATTTCTTTTTTTCTTTTTTAATGTAGATCTATCCTTTCTCTCTGATTACAAATTGAAGACATTCATCTCAGAAAATTAGCCATGATCAGTATTCACATCTGGAAATATCACTTCAGATTAGTATCCACCCTTACCTCAGTGTGGGTGGAGAAGAATACCAGGGTTTGAGCAGTAAAGAAACTCTGTCCCAGCCAATCTATTTTACCACTCTTCCCTGGAGACACAATCCACAAATTGTGGGATCCAGACCTGTATTACTCAGGATGAATGGATCCAGTAAGTCTAGGACAGAAATGGAATTACTTGTCTTAGATGTGAAGCAGAGAACTCATGCCCATCCATTCCTCTCTTGTAATGGAGATAATGATACAATCCAAGTTGATCTTGGGTTGGATCCAGTTGACCTTTGCACTCTATCTCACCCAACTCTCCTTCTTCTTACTACAGATCCTGCCTAACTTGGCACTTGACCATGCAGGTCCAATGATCCTCAGCATAGCCTTTTTGGGGTGGTCAAAGGGAATCGTTACTATTTTCTCACTAGTAGAATAACTAGTTGGATGCAGTGTTCTCTCTAAGATGAGTTAGTGTGAGCTAGCTTACAGTTGTTTAGCCTCTGGCTGACACATTTTTGTCTTAGCTCAGGAAGGATGTCTCCAAAGCACACTAATTTATGCAGTAGCCAAATCACTCAGTCACAACTTTAATGCCAGTAGCTCACAAAGTAGAATTTTTGAGCCCTGAAAAACAATTCCTTCTGTTACATCCTACCCATTTTTTCCGAAGGGCATTTTGTACATCCCTGTTCCTCAAACTGTATATGATTGGATTAAGCATAGGTGCAATGATCCCATAGAAAACAGACAAAACCTGGTCCTTTTTCTGAGAAGTATTGCTAGGGATAAGGTATGTAATGATTGCAGTGCCATAAAATATGTTGACCACAACGAGGTGAGAAACACAGGTGGAGAAGGCTTTGAGACGGCCATCCTTCGTATGGATCCTGAGGATGGATGTGACTATGTAGACATAAGACACTAGTGTACACAGGAAGGAACCAATTATCACACTTCCACCCACCATAAGGACTACAATACGATTGACTTGAGTGCTGGAGCATGAAAGCTGCAAAAGAGGTGGGACATCACAGAAAAAGTGATGGATGACGTTGTCCTGACAGAAGGACAAAAGGGACATGAGGGCAGCGTGCACACCTGAATTAGCCAAGCCCAGAAACCAAGCAGTGGCTGCTAAAGAGACACAAACTTTGGGGCTCATAAGCACACTGTAATGCAGTGGATGACAGATGGCAGCATATCGGTCATAGGCCATGACACCCAGCAGGAGGCATTCAGTACCAGCAAACGAGATGAAGAAGTACATCTGGGAGAAGCAAGCTGACAGAGAGATAGTTTTGTCTTGAGACAGGTAATTCATCAGCATCTTGGGGACAGTGGAAGTTGTATACCCAATGTCTACCACAGAGAGATTGCCTAGGAAGAAATACATGGGGCTATGAAGTTTCCTGTCCAAGCTGATGGTGAGAAGGAGAAGAACATTCCCAGACAGGGCCACTAAGTAGATGAGGAGAAAGAGACCAAACAGAATGAGCTGGGTTTCAGGGTTGCTGGAGAGTCCCAGGAGTACAAATTCAGTGACGGCTGTGTTGTTCTGCAATATTTGGCGTGGAAGCTCCATCTGAGAAGGAATATCAACGTTTTGTAATTTTTGATTTGGTTGGAAACCATTCATTGAACATATGTTATGGAGTGACAATACCATGTTAAATGCCACCCCCAATTGATTTAAATATGATGTAGGTAGCTCTAATGATCAACATTTCTGGACAATAAAAAGAAGAGAATTTCTAAAACCTTTGCTGCAACTCTACTGTCATCTCCTGAATATTTTTTCTCCTGAACCATGCTGCAGAGTTCCCTAGGTGATAGCAGGTGATATTTCATTCTTGCTAGACACTGAAAAAGAAGTTCAAATTCCCAGGAAAGTGAATAGCTGGGAAAGGTTAGGAAGTGGTATGTATCAGTTAGACTTATTGCTTTGCCAAAGTCCAAGGGTGTAACACAATTGATACATAGGAGAATGTTGTTGAGATGAAATATCTTTCATTTCCTGAGTTGTGGGGTGTCTTTTGATATACTTTTAAAAAACCAATACTAATCTATGTTTTCTGTTGATGAACCAGTTAACAATTAACTTTTACTGGATAATCTTGTGTGTATATTTTTTTTCTCTTTTCTGTTAACATTGGTGTTAGCCAATTAAAATATATATGGAAGAAAGTAATTCCAGTACCATCCTCTCTGAACAGCATTTGAGGAAATGTTTAATCAAAGAAGATGAATGAATGGGAAGAAAGACTTTAATTCTCATAATTAGAACATCCTCCACTATTCACCATTATTTCTTCTTGCTTTACTATTTACAGCAAGGGTTTTTTGCTGAGATATTAACTGTGCAATGAATGCCTAGTCAGAAGCAAGCTGCTCTGTGTTCAGTAGTATTCTTAGGTAAGTATGCATCATGACTATTTCAGTGGCTAGCACTGATATTCTAAGGAAGGGCTGGGGTCAAAAATGTCCATTTTACACTACACCTGTCTTCACCCCATCTTCTACCTCCCATCTGTTCATTCTGATCAAATCCTTGCGAAGCATGAGATGTAATCTTATCTAGGCAACTGGATTACTTCTACATCAGCTTTAAATCCAAGTTCAAACATTTCCCTCAAGACCTGCCCTTACCCATTATGGCCTGAAGGAGTAATCTTGTGGCTCCGAAGCCCAGCTTCCCAAGATAAATAGAGCAGCACAAAAAATGTCAGCCGGTTGTCTGAGACCAGTGAGATGCTGGACTAGATGACAGTGACATGAGGAAATTGTTCTAGTAGCAGATTAAAAAATCATAGCATGGAGAGATGCCTTTTGTGATTAATATGTCCACTATTTTCCTTAACATTCCATATCCTACACAAATTAGAGGTAATTTTGTGGAACGTTTTTCCAACTTGATTGGTTAGTTGGGTTGCTGGGGAGTCCAAAGGGTCAGTGACCCTCTTCCTTCATGTGTTAGATAGGTAGAATAGTGCATCTCTATACATTATTAGCCTTCCTCCAAGGAGCTCAGAACAGGATCCCTGTGTCTTCTGCTCTGTTTTATCCTCACTGCAGCATTTGAAGCCAATTAGGCTGAGATAGAACAAAGGGCCAAAAGTCAATGAATTAGTTTCACTGCTAAGTGGGACTTGAACCCAGGTCATGCTCCACCCTGGCTCTAGTAAGCATTTATGTTCATCTGTCTGATGTTTTGAATATTTTTGATGTTTTAACACCATCGGTTGAGTTCCTCCACTCTCGCCTTGCTTTGAGAAGCCATCCTCAAGGTTCTATTAGCTATAATAATACTGACATATTTGTAAACTGTTCTCAATTAACTGAAATCAGAACTCAAACATATACAGTTATATTCATACACGTATACACATTTCACATATATGTATATGTGGGGGGGTGCATTAGCATATATGCCCCTTTTCTTCTCATCCCTTCACTCGTAAAGCTGATATCATTCCTTATAACACAGAAAATCTTCCAAGTCTGGTTTTTGTTTTTGTTTTTCATGTGAAAACTTGCATATGAATGTTAGGGTAATCTGGGGAACAAATAAATTACATTATTTTCATATTTTAAAAGAATAAATGAAAAGTTAAGACAAATTAGACTTTCCAATGCAGTTTACCTGTTTTGTTTATTGAAAGTCATATATTTTGTAGTCCCATTCAAAAAGTACTTCAATAAAGTTGATATTCTAACCTCACATGCCAAACTCAGCATCTGTTCAGCCTGTGTCTTATCAAACACGCTTTTGCAACTTATACTTCAAAAGGCGTGCTAAAAATCCTAGTGGAGTTTTCCCAGGAGACCATGTGCTACGTCACTTCTTGATCTCATTAGATTGTGGGATTTCAGGTTATAATATTTTCTAACGGGAGCTTAATAGACAGACAACATGTGAATTCTAGAAGAACACTGAATATTATATCTAACACTGTAAAGGGGGTGGGTTGTTGTAGGGAAAACAAGGGCAGGTTGGAATTTTCCCTCAAGCTCTATTAGTTTTGGTATCCAAACTACAGTCCATGGATTAACTTTTGAATTGTTAAATGTACTCCTCGTTTTAATTTAGTTATGACATGCATCTCTCACCACTTACAAAATGTAATGGGAACAATTCCTTTTTAACACTGTGAATAATTTAGAACAACAGAAACAAGGAACGCTTGGAGATTTCAATGCCATATTTGTAAAATCATGGGTATGATCCAGTCACACTTATGAGGCATGATCCAGAGACACTTACATTCCAGTTATTTAATCATGATATACTTAAGCACAGGTGGGCTGCACTGATGTCAAGGGGACATCAATATATCTTATTTGTAACATGGCCAAATCTGTAGATACATAAATCCAGAGACTGGAGCCATGAACAGACAAGAAAGATCTTTCTATAAACTTGTCAGGATCACCTCAAGTTTTCGTGGCCTCCACAACAAGCCTAGGCCTGTAATAACTGTCCCTCCAGATTGCATAATTCACACTTGTAATCTGGTGTTTTGTTCTGATCAGGATGAATGGGATCTGAGGGTGAAGGAACAAAATACAATTCCTTTCTCATGGACAGATCACTGTTTGCTTGGGTTTAGACTTTCAGGGATACCAAGACTCTGTAGGGGTGGGGGATCTATTAAAATGATGTGATCCTGGAAACACATGGATCTGAATGGAAGATGAAGAGTTGATTCTATACCCTGCCCTTCACTACCCAAAAGAGTCTTGGAGCAGCTTGCAATCACCTTCTTTTGCTCTCCCCTGTGAGGTAGGTGGAGCTGAGAGAGCTCTGAGAGAACTGTGACTAGGGCTGCCATTCCCCCAGGGATAGGGTGCCCACTTTTAGGGCCTCTGATCTGCTGGCCTCAATCCAGCCAGTGGGGGAACCCCGCCCCCAAAGTTCCATGTTCAGGCCAATGGGCTTGGTGCTATGACATCACCCAGAGGAGATGTCACCATGCAGGGCATGTTGCGGGAGGATGCTCTATCATTTGTGGGAAAACTCTATGGTTTTTCCTCAAATGATAGAGATCCTGCCCACAACGTGCCCTGTGCAATGACATCACTTCCAGGTGATGTCATCACAGTATGCACACCAAAGATCTCCCAAGGAGGAAGAAGAACCCCCCGCCAGCAGCCAGGGTCCTGGCAACCCTAACTGTGACCGACCCAAGGTCACCCAGCTGGCTTCATGTGGAGGAGTGGGGAATTAAACCTGATTCTCCAGATTAGAGTCTGCCACTCTTAACCACTACACCAGACTAGGGTTGCCAGGACCCCTCATCATTCCAGTGGGGGGATTTGGGTGGCGTTCCAGAAAGTGATGACATCACCCAAAAGTGATATCATGCCAAGAACATTGTGCAAAATGGATGAGGAAGAGGAGGAGATTGGATTTATATCCCACCCTTCACTCAGAGTCTCAGAGCATCTTACAAACCTCTTTCCCTTCCCCTCCCCACAACAGACACCCTGCGAGGTAGGTGGGGCTGAGAGAGCTCTCTTGAAGACTGCCCGCTCTTTCAAGAACAGCTCTGACAGAACTATGGCTTGCTTAAGGTCATCCAGCAGCTGCAAGTGGAGGAGTGGGGAATCAAACCCGGTTCTCCCAGATTAGAGTCCGCGCACTTAAGCACTACACCAAACTGGCTCTCGTTTCAGGGCAAACCTCTATGGTAAAAATGACTTAAAACCATAGAGGTTTGCCCTCAAACCAGAGTGTCCACGTGTGATGCCCTTGTTATGATGACATCACTTCCATTGGGGAAGTCGCATTAGGCTATGGCTGATTGGGGTGGGGTGGCCAGTGGTGGGCTTAAGCCCCCAAAACCGGGGAAACCCTCACCCTGACCTGGGGACTGGCAAGCCTACACCAAATTGGCTCTCTTGCAGCTTTAGGAAATTTTCTTTTGATATGATTGGTGCTCCTATCAATGCCCTGGCTGATGACTGGAATAAGGAAATTACCTCGCAGCTGACACAATACTCCCAGATGTTAAAGCCAAGGTAGCCCTGTGCTTTACTGAGGGACTGTGGATGATGAAATAGTGAAATAGTTAAAGTGACTCTAAAGGAAGAATCAGGGCAAATCTGATAAGACACAGGTAAAAAATCGTCTGAAAGCATAGTCCATAAGCACTGATGGTGACAAAAAATACCCCAATACTTTCCCACCACCTTTGCATCTGTAAAGTGTAGGCCCAACAGAGATAATACTGGCAGTCAGATACCTGTTGCGATCTGGTATGCAGATGGAGATGGATTGGTTGGTGGCCTGCTGTAACCACTTCACTCAATAATTTGCAGGAAAAAGAACCTGTCACATCTGTAGTCCTGGGCTCTACTTTCACAGTGAAATCATCAGATGGGGCTGGAGTCTTGAGTTGTCCAGTTTTTTGGGATACCTTTAAGTTTATTCAGTATTAGGGTTCCCAGCCTCCAGGTGGGGCTCCCCTGGAGAAAATGGCTGCTTTGAAGGGTGGATTCTATGGCATTGTACCATGCTGAGGCTCTTCCCCTCCGAAACCCCACCCTTTCCTGGATCCACCTCCAAAGTCTCCAGTTATTTTCCAACCTAGACCTGGCAACAATGTTCCCTCTAAGCTGTGGAGTCTTGTGAGCAAAAATTCTACTGTGTGAGCTACTGGCATTAAA